CTATGTGGAAATGACATTCGAAGTTGAACAGATTTATAAAATATTTAATAAATAAATTAAAATTTATTCATATATTACACTTACAAATCATAAAACTTGTAATCAGGATATAAATAAAGAAATAGGAATATATTTTACTTTTGGAATAATCCACCAATTTTTTAAAATTAAAAACTATCTATAGTTTTGCATCGAAGCATCTTTTATGATAATGATTTTAATTACTATCAGATATCATCTATACTGGACCCAACTATGCCACGTCCCTACTGTACTACCGTTTTTTTTTTTTTAATGTACCCTAAAAAGTATAATTATTTAAAACTATTTACCAGTATCACCAATCGTTGTGTCTCCTAAATTGAAGAAAAATGAAGATTGTGTAGAAGAAAGTGGTAAAATAATTTTGTCTGTGCAGATATTAATGATGGTGCATAACTTTGAAATAGTGGAATTATAAATTTGATTAATTGGACAAGTACTGCCAAACGTATACAAAACGCTTAGTCGATTTGACTTTTTCAACCCAATACGTCCGTTATCTAAGATAAAATTTGAATAAATTTTTCTAAGACTGAAAGTATGAAATTAGTAACTCACGAGTGGCTGATATATGTACAAGGAAGTCAAGAGCAGAAGCAAATATTTTCCTTTTCGTTTTATTTGAAGAGTAGTTTTTTGTATCAAAAATGTCTAATACATATTGCATTAGACCTCCACGGACTAGACGGTCGCAGGTCTCTTCGGTAACTATAATTCAAAAAATTCATACCTAACTTATAAAAATAAAGTNAAAAATTCATACCTAACTTATAAAAATAAAGTAATTATAGATATTACCTTTTTTACTTAAATTAGCTAAAATTACAATGAATATCCATTGTTTGTTTTTCTTCAGATGTCTTTTATTTTCTCGGAGAAGTTTTTCCATCGTTAAACAAAAATTATCTTTCAAGAGAAGACCAACAATATTTTCTAAATAATTATAATCAGACAATCTTTTTAAAATTGCATTTTTTTATGGTAACAGTACAATTTTCAAACCATTTTTTGTGATTGTTTTAAAACATAACATTAATGAGGTCGATAAT